TTTTGGAATCTCCATCCTTAGAGGTTTTTAAGGCCAGGGTAGACAAAGCCTTGCTTGGAATGATCTACTTGGGGATGGTCCTGCTTTGTGCAGGGGGCTAGACTAGATGATCTCCTGAGGTCCCTTCCAAACCTAATTGTTTATGATTCTAGGTCAGAGTTCTGTATGTTTTCTTATAGAGAGCTATATGGGTGAAAAGAGAATATATACACAAGTAAACTTGGAATGATTGATTTGCTTGACGCTATGAACTGTGTTGATTATTTGATAGTCCGGGGTTATACAATACATGATAGGCACCACCTCCTTTGGAAGCCTATTCCAAATTTTGGCCACACTTACCATGAAGAAGTTTTTCCTGATATTTAGCCTAAATCTGCTCTCTGTCAGTTTGTGACCATTGTTCCCTGTTACCCCAAGAGGCGCCCTGGTGAACAGAGCATCTCCAATCCCTTGCTGTGTCCATCTACAAATTCAAATGCAAGGTGCTCCACCTTGGGGGAAAAAAACATATCATACTTATAGGCTCAGCAGTGCTACACTCACTAGCACCATGACTAAAAAAGACTTGGGGGTCATGATTGACCACAAAATGAACATGGGCTACCAATGCAAAGCTACAGCTGGCAAAGCAAATAAAGCTCTGGCTTGCATCTACTGATGCATCTCAAGGAAGACTCAAAAAGTCATCCTTCTGCTTTACTCAGCCTTGGTGAGGCCGCAGCTGGAGTACTGCATCCAGTTCTGGGCTCTGCACTTTAGAAAGGGTGTGGAGAAGCTTGCGAGAGTCCAGAGGAAGGCCACTTGCAAGATTAGAGGTCAAGAGAACAGGCCTTATGAGGAGAGGCTGAGAGGCATGGGACTGTTCAGCCTGCAGAGGCAAAGACTCATGGGTGACTTGGTAGTAGCCTATAAGTATATTAGGGGTGTGCATCAGGAACTGGGAGAACATCTGTTCACCAGGGCACCCCAAGGGAAAACAAGGTCTAACAGTCACATGCTTCTGGAAGACCATTTCAAACTGGACATATGGAAAAACTTCTTTACCTTCCGAGTCTCCAGAGTCTGGACTAGACTTCCCCCAGAACTGGTGCAAGCACCTACTCTGGATACCTTTAAGAAATGCTTGGATCCTTATCTTGCTGGGGTGATCTGACCCCAGCTGACTTCCTGCCCCTTGGGCAGGGGGCTGGATCCAATGATCTTGTGAGATCTCTTCCAGCCCTAATGTCTACAAAAGCTATAATGTCTATGAAATCTATGAGAGTCGCTCTGAAGTGCCCCACCCCAGAGCGTGTATAAAGATATCCATTAGTTTTCTCACTCACTCTCTCTCATTATCTCTCTCAATTATGTATGTAGCCTGTATATGCACTCTAAACATATGCCCCGTACCTCCAAGGCCTTCAAGCAGAAGCCAGTCACCACAAAACACTTTCTGACAGCTATAACTATTTACAACTAGGCCTTTCAAGAAACCTAATAGTTTTGTGGTGGTTGTTTTTCAGAACCTGTCTTCCTCAAAAACTGTGTAAATATGGAGTTTGTCTTTAACCACTTCTAGGTCCTGTCCCCCAGAAGCAGTTTCAGTGATGTTGTATTAAGAATGTGCCCCTATCAAAGTGTGGGGCAGTCATCTGGAGTCCAGTGCATATAGTTACAAACCACAGCATCTGGAGAGGGCAGCAAGATCAACAGACTGCTGAAGTAAGGTGCTACTTGGTGTGTGTGAAGCCAGACTAGCTGATGGGTAAGAGAAAAGTTAAGGCTTGTCACATTTCAACACTATATGTCCACTTTGGGGGTTTTTTTAAATACATTTTTGATTCTTCAGTAAGGTATGTCAACATATTTAGTACTGTACTGTGCTTAAGAGTATTTTCATCAAGAACAGATGCACTGTATAGCAAACAAATGACATATTGCAAGGAAATATAAGGAAATCAATTATAGAAAAAGGCAAAATTCCAAAGAGTAACTGATAGACATATATTTTGACTTTACTACAGCTGAAAAATGGATTTAAAAATCTCAAGAAGGCAAAAGTTAAAATGTCATAGTATTATAACCCAGTAGTTCCACTGACCTATCAGTATCAGTTAATATTTGAAAAATTGTCTAGGAGCATACAGTGAGTTTACTAATGGAAATATTAATGGTGATTTGAGATATTTACCCTGAACAGAAGTCTGACCTCTTCACTTAGATTGTTAAGGAACAAATCTCCCAAGAAATAATGAGATGTACTCTATTGAGCCAGATGCACTGAGCACTGCTTTAAATCACTCTGATTCTAATATGTGTTTAAATTGAAGCAGGCAGAATTTACCTGATTGCAGTTAAACATGTGCTTATGTGCTGTGTTCAACCAAGGTGTAAATGAGTAGATATTAAACTTTTTATTAAAATTCTCAAATTCAGGGTCTTTTCAGACTATCACTCACTAATCACATCTACAAGTGACACTACATCACCATAGCAATATGCTATGGTGATGTAGCATCAGTGGTCACAAATTGTGAATGCTCTCCCTTGTTATAGTACATTGCTACGGTGACATAGCAGATAAAAATAACCGTGCGCAGTACACAGGGTGCAGTATGGGCTGTTACTGTGTCATCTGTTACTGATGGCGCAGTAACAAAGGTGCCATATGGACACATGTAGACACACCCACTGTACATCCAAATTTAAAGAGGTATAGCAGCAATTCCCAAACTGACAGATTGTGCACCACCAATATAAAACAAAAAACCTTAAGTACCACCAGCATTTTTTTCAGTTCAACCTTAAGTACCACCAGCAATTTTTTGTCATCATAATAAATCTGTTAATGCATACCACTGACAGGTTGTCTGCATACCACTCGTGGTACATGTACCACAGATTGGGAACCACTGAGATAGAGTTAACTCAAATACTGGTCAAAAACCTACCAGAAATAGGTATACTAAACAGATGGCCACCAAAGATCTGAGCTTAAGAAATATACTAAAAACATACTATGTGAACTTGAAGAATGCATTGGCCCAAGACTGCAATAAGTTAGTAGTTGCTCACATGATTAGTCTCACTGAATCTACAGAGAATAACTGTTACTCTTTAGAATATCTCTAAAGAGAGATGCAACTGTACCCTACAGGATGGTGTTTGGAGAACACTGGGTGCATCTACACATGCATTTACTATGGTCTAGATTTACTCTGGTGTAAACTAAGCCAGAGTAAGGGTTTTCTGGCGGGCATCTACACATGCAGAGATTAGGGAGCAGATTTGCATTCAGTTTCATGCAGCCCTGCAATGGACCCCACAGCCACCACGGGGCGCTCTAGGCCCCAACTGCAGCAGCCAGCACCTGGCAGCCCTCTCTAAAAGCCAGCCCCGCTTGTTGCTCTCTGGCCAGCTTCTTCCTTGCCAAGGAGCTGCATGCCAAGTCCAGGGACAGCATAGGACAGCTTTCTCCTTGGCTATTCTGCCTCTCTGCACTATGGATGCTCCAGTCCCCGCCCCTGGCAGCAACAACCAGTGCTCCATGATCCTGTTGGCTGCTGCACTAGCTCTACTGGCCTGCTACACTGACCACTGCCTGGCCCATGGATATTTTGCCCTGCCAAGCTCCCCCATGAACAGAGATTGCCTGCCTGGCTGCAGTAGGCTGTCCAAGGTCCTTCAACACCATCACACCACTGCTACCACCAAGGACACCAATGACGGGCTCCACAATGCCACCTTCGGACACCTGTTTGGTGTGGGCAAGGCCACCACCAGGGAGGTTGTCCTGGAGGTGTGCGAGGCCCTCCAGGATGTGCTGGGGCACACCATGCTCCACATCCATGACAGTGGTGGCAGGGTTCCATGCACTGGGATTGCCCCAGTGTACTGGGGCCCTGGACAGGACCCACATCCCCATCCCCCGCCTGCCGTATTGGAGACTGGCCCTACTACAGCTGCAGGGGATTTCACTCTGTGGTCCTGCAGGCTCTTGTGGACCACCATGGGGCCTTCATGCATGTCAGTGCTGGCTGGGCAGGCAGCACTCATGACACCCAGGTTTCACAACTCCAGCCTGGCAGGACTTGTGGAGAGTGGGCAATTTGTACCAGGGGAGCTGGACCTGCAGCTAGGCACTTCAATGGTCCCACCACTGCTCATTGGGTCCCCACCTACTCACTCCTACCCTGGCTCATGGATCCTTACACCAGCCACCTGGTCCCCTGCTATGCCTACTTTAACAGGTGTCTGGGCTGGACCCATGCCCTGGTGGAGTGTGCCTTCGGCCTCCTCAAGGGTCATTGGTATACCATCATTACCCGCCATGAGGTTGCCAAGGATGACTTTCCCTGGGTCATTATTGCAGCCTGTGTGTTGCATAACATCTATGAGGCCCAGGGGGTTCTATAAGGCCTGGGTGGAGGAGGCACAGTGCATGGGGGTACCTGGAGGTGGGAGCACCACCTACAGCAGCAGCAACAGCAACAGCAATGTTGCCCCCTGTTCCTCCCCGCTGAAGCCACAGGAGAGCCAAGCACCCATCAGAGGAAACCAGAGCAGTGGGTGGGGGAGGCTCTATCTGACCAACTTCTCCTGCACTCCCCACTCTAGCCCGCCTGCCCTGCAAACAATGGGCCCTCCACCCTCCTGCCCACCTCCAGCACCATGCTCACTGCACACATGCATAGGAAGAACAATTCTTTATTCCCCTAACATCAACCAGAGATCCCCTCCCATTCCAACACACAGAATAAGGGGCCATGCAGTGCACCGCCCAGCCTCAGATTGGGGGTCAGCCATGCATGGGTGCCCAGGTACCCATAAGTTAGGCAGGGCAGGCCTAGACCCAGGCAGCTGATGGCCAAGCCCCCCATCCCTATGTGTTCCCCTGGGACCACTTGTGTGCTGGGTGCTAGCCACAGGCACCCTGCCTCCACTGGTTTACTTTTGTGCCCCTTGCAGTTTACAAGCAAAGGAGATGCAAAGAAATGGAATGAGATAACACCTACTTAATCTCTTCAGAGAAGAATATTTACTTGGATTAGTCTTGACTGCAGCCTCATAGGATGGTGGGAGGTGTGAGAGGTTCTGGAAGGACCTGGAAAAGGAGAGATCATACGGCTCCGTAGCAGAAGTAAGAATATTGTTCATGCGTGGTTTTTCTGCAAAAAAAGAACAAAGTCATATCCACACAGGGCACCAAGACACAGAGGAAATGAGAAAGACATTCCATTCCTACCCCACTCTTATTCAAGCCAGCCTTTACAGATTTGAGATTAGTAGCTCATTAGGCTAGCATGGTCAATGCACCCCACTTTTTATAGCCAAGAAAATGATTCAGCCAACATCACTTTCAAGCCAGCCCCTGTCTCCTTTGCATAAATGAACAATTACAATACAACTCCTAAGACTCAGGAGCTGGGTTTTAGCTGCCTCCCCCTACCCCCACTCACCCCAAAGAGGTCAGAAGCTACATCTCAGCACAGCGTTCTAACAACCAGGACATAGGATGGACATTATGCAGTGTTTTCTTCAGTATCCCCCGCCTCTTTGAAGCAGGCCTACCCCCACCCATCTTTGGATCAGCCAAGAGTGAGAAATCTGTGAGTCCAGAAGAAAGTGAATGCGAGAAGTCAGGAGAAAGGGTGTGTGGCTCATTGAGATAGATAAAGCACTATAAGGGAAGGGAGCTATGTTTTAGCATGAATCCTTCCTCCAAACTGGGCTATAATTTCCCCACTGCTCTTCATTATAAATCATAGAATCATAGAAAAGTAGGGCTAAAAGGAACCTCATGAACAGAGTTACCATACATCTGGGTTTTCCCAGACATGTCCTCTTTTCTGGGTCCTCCCATCTCTGTCCAGGTATTTTTTTTTAAATATCAGCAAATGTCCAGGATTTTGCTCTGCCTCCACTCAGCATTGAAGTTTTTTCCCAGCACTTCCTGGCTTGCCCCATCAAGGAGCTGCTTGGGACTGGGGGGAGCAGGGAAGGGGTACTGGAGGCATGGGCATCACATGGTCTATGTGCATGCCCTAGCAGCTGCAGGCAGGTAAGTCTGTGGCGGGTAGAGGTTGCAGGGCTAGGGCTGGGGACTGTAGGGGGGGGCAGGAAGGTGTGTGTGTTATGCTCACATGCACGTCCACTGACACTGCGGCTGCAGTAGGGCAGGCAGGCGGGGGAGGGGCCTGCCCTTCCAGTGGGGGAAGGGAGTAGGGGGGAAGGGGGTTATTCAAGGCCAGCAGGGAGCTGCATGGGTATCAGGGCTGGAGGGGCAAAGGGCTGTGGGTCAGGAGTAAGGGGTATTGGCACAACTGTGGGGGGGCTGTGGCTTGGGAGTGAGGGACACCAGGGAAGGTACTGTGGGTTACAGGCAGGAACAGGGGGCTGCAGGTTAGGAGTGAGGGGCACCAACATGGTTGGGGGGATACTGTAGGTCAGGAGTGAGAGGCAGCAGCAGGAGTGTTGGGGCTGTGGCTTGGGAGTGACAGACAGGGGCAGGGCACAACCAGGCCTCTCACCACGTTTCGTTTTTTCTTTGGCAGAGCCTGCCCACTCAATGCAGGGGGCCCCGGAGCTTCATCCTAGCTCTAACTTACCTGCATATTTGTTTGAAATGCCTCAGGATCTATAATAATAGCATGCTTATTCTGTCTGTCTGAAGCACTGTCTGTCTGTAGCACTCTGATTGGTTGTTTCAGTAAGCATTGTGATTGGCTGTTGAGGCAACCAATCAGAGTGCTCTGGACAGACAGACTAAGCCTATTATTATTATAGATTAGCCTCAAACAAACAAGAATTAAACCCACAGGAACAAAGTGGGTCACAAAAGCTAATCCATGTAATAAGATAAGAATCCTAGCCTCTGTTTAAAGCACACTTAACCCAGTCCAGTTTGTGGAAGATTTTTTGCTCACAATTTCCTGTGCAAACTGGTTTTTGATTTTTTTATTGTTATTTATTTATGGTTTTGCCTGAGAACAGCAATCCCACGGTCAGTAATGAAGTATCCATGGAGGTTGAAGTGTTCTGCCACATGCTTTTGTATCTTTCTGCACCTGTCGGATCAGTTTTAATTCATTCTTATGCTTAGAGATCATCCTCTCTGTTCAATGTAGACAGCAGATGGACACTATAAGCAAGTCATGGCATATATGCTATTTATAAAGTTGCAGGTGAATGAATTTTGGATATTGAACTCCTGGTTATTAGGCTCAGTGATGATGTGGTCTGTATTGATGTGGGGACATGGCAGGCTTTTGGGTCCATTGCAAGGCCTCCTGCCTCAGTGAGGCTAAGAATTCATTAGTATTTTATTTTAGAGATGATGTTTGAGGTTGTAGGGCTGTCTGTAAGCCAGGGCATGTGCATCTCCAAAGGCAGTCAGCATAGATTTATAAATTAGGTTAAACAAACAACCTCCTTCTTCAAGAAAACTAGTTGGGTAGATGAAGGGAATGCAGTAGATAAAGTATATCTGGACTTATGGAAGGTTTTTGACAACAAAACACAGCTTTCCCATAAACAATTTGTAAAAATGGGGACTACACAAAACTACTGCCTTGTGGATAGAAAACTGACTCAATACCTGCAAGCAAAGGGTAATTATAAATGGATCTATGTCAGAATAGCAGAAGTCCCACAGGGGTATGTCTTGGTCCCAGTGCTGTTTTACATGTTTATTAACAAATTGGGTGCTGGAATAGAAAGCTTCTTGACCTAATTTGCAGGTGACACAAAACTGGGAAGGAGTGTGAACATACTGGTGGACAGGAGTGTAATTCAGAAGGAATTGTACTCAGAAGGAATTCAGAAGGAACTTGGCATATTGGAAAGCTAAGCTGGAGCTAATAGCCTGAAGTTCAATGGTGACAAATGCAAGGTGTTATACCTCAGGTACAATAATAAAAAACAAATGCAAGATGGGTGACAACTAGCTGGATAACAACACTGCAGTGAACAATTTAGGATTCCTGGTGGATTGTGATCAATATGAATCTGCAGTGTGACACAGTTACACAAAAGGTGAATGTGATTTTGGACAACATCAACAGAAGTATAAAAGGTGCAAGTATAGAACAGAAGGTGCAAGACATGGGAGATAATAGCACTTCTTTACTTGGCATTGGTCAGGCCTCATCTAGAATATTGTGTGCTGTTTTAAAAAGGCCTCCAAATTTTAAAAAGGCCTCTACATGAACTGCCACCTTGATGGAACAGATAGGGTCATCATATACTGAAGACCCTAAGAGCTACACTGTTGGGAGTCTTGTACTCATGGCTGGGTCACCCATAGCAGTAAGGTCAAAGGTGAGGTATTAGACAAAGAGCAGTCCAACATAACATAAGGACCTCAACTGTGGAGCAGGTGAATGAAGAAGGCATACTTCTCAATGGCTGCAAAGGCAGATGAAGGCTGCAGTGGAAGAGCAACCCCAGACATCTTGGATCTTCTTGCCACTGGATACAGGTTGGTTTTCCACCAAGATTCATGCAGTTGCTGATGTGCAATGGCCTCCTCATGTAAAACAAGTAACTCACAGGCTTCTTCCACTGGATCCAGCCACCGATACCCATAACCTTTACAAAGTCCTATGGTGATGGGCAAGTGGTGACAAGGACAGACCAAGTGATTGCCAGGAGTCCCTAGCCATGGATCCACACACAGGCAGTGGTCACATGTTGGTTACTCCATTCTTGGAATGGGACAGGAGGGTAATTCAACAGCCACAATTTTTCTTTTCTTGACCCATGGAAGTGATCATCTTTGATCATGAGGGATTGCCACTGCTGCTACTGATTTTAAAAAGGACATAGAAAAGTTAGAGGGTCCAGAAGCAGGCAACAAAAATGATAAAGGGCTTTAAGATGATAAGTGGTTGAAGGAAATAATATGTTCATTGTATGGAAAAAGGTAGTTAAGAGGGAACATAGAAGTGTTCAAATACCTGAAGGGCTCCCATAAAGAAGATGGAGAACACTTTCTCTGTTGCTGCATGGAGCAGCATGTGGCCCAATAGCTTGAAGTTTCAGTAAAGCAGATTTAGATTGGATATCAGGAAAAACTTCACTGCTAGAACAGTGAGGTACTGGCACTGCCTAGGGAAGTTGTGGAATTTCCATCACTGGAGACATTTAAGGACAGGTTGGTTAACCACTGCCCAGGAATGATCTAGGAGTAGCTATAGTTATGCTAGCTATGGGTACTTCCCACTTTTCAGGGTTTTTCTGTTTCTGTTTCTGTTTCTGCCACGTAGGACTGAGAAGGAAATGTTGTCCCCTCTGTTGTTAAATGTCACAGGGTGGTAGTTTGTTTCTTTGTTTCCCTTCCTCAGAAGCATTGGGTATTGGCTGCAATCGAGACCAGGGACTTTTACTGGGGCATGCCAATCCTTCAGCTGGAACTAAAACCCAGAGTCTTGTCTCTCTGCTCAGGGTAACACTGATTGCCCCATTAGAGGTCAGGAATGAATTTTACCCCATGGTCTGATCTGTATGAACTGTTTGGGTTTTTGCCTTTCTGTTGGGGCTGTTGCCTTCTTCTGCAAATGATCTCTCAACTGTATTTTGACAACATCACCCTTCCAGCAACAAGACACTTGGCATGTCTACACATGCATTTAGGTGCACCTAAATTTAATGTGTGTTAGCTTAATGCTCATTAAGGCTATTTAGGCTTATGTCTACACATGAATGTGTTAAAGCAAAAGCAGGTATCAAATTTAGTTGTGAATAGCCTAAAATGCCATTTTAAGCTGCATTAAAGGCATTTACATGTAGACATGCACCCTTAATGTGCCTTAAATTGGTCTAAATTGCCTTAAATAAGTACGTCCCACTGACCATCATTGTCACTCAGCTTCATTTGTGGCAGTTTAGGTTGTGTGAAAGGGTTGGCTGTGTGTTTTTAGTAATAGGTTACACAAAGATTTACATAGGATGGTTTAGTTAGGGATGTTTCTGCCTCAGGCAGGGGGATGGAGCAAATTGGAGCTTTTCAACCCTACTTTTACATGAGTCTATTCTAGAAAGTAAACTGGATAAGCTGGGTCTTGCAGCCTGGGTCTTGTACTTCCTGATTCAGAGCCCTAACCACTAGGCTATTGGGCAAAATATGTGAGGACCCTACTCTAGTATCTAGTACCCACTAGTCATAAGT